TGGACACTCCACTCAAAGCGCTTTACAGGTAATGGGGACTCCCCTCCACCACCACCAATGTGCAGCTCCACCAGCCATAGTGCGCCAGTACGCTCACCACACATCAGCTATCAGTGGGGAGAAGAGCAGAGTAATGTAGCCAATTAATTAGTAATGTAGCCAATTAATCATAGCCTCCTAATAACCCCTATCTCTGAACTGGCTTCATTATATATAAGTGTATGTAAAAATTGTATTATTATATACTAAAATAGATATCTGGATTGTAGATTCCAGGTTCCAGCTATAATCCACTCACGCTCGTTTTCAAGTTAATGCATACCCCCAAATAACGTGATGAATAAATAACCGGTGAACATTTAAATAAAGCCAAAACACAATAGTTTGTGTTTACACCTATTTAATTACTGTATTTTGCGTGTATTCTTAGGGTTAATTGTGCAAATGTTATCTTGTCTATAGTAGGTAGACAGTAGGTACAGTAGGTATTTTACATCTAAGGTCAAAGGCATATTTCAGCTAAAATTCAAAGTCAAGCGGTGCACTTTCCCTGAATGGACACTAGAGGGCACGGTTGGATACCACGTGGAAGTGCTTAAAATGAAAACAGGCGGCGATTTTACACAAAGGGTGGTGGGAGTGTGGAACAAGCTACCCGGCCATGTTCTTGTAGTTGATACCCTGGCTTCTTTTAAAAAAAAAAATCTGGTTGTTATCCTCAGATTAATAAGCTACTAACAACAAAAGTGCTTCATGGACCAAATGGTCTCCTCTCATTTTTCAACTTTTGTATGTCCTTAAATTAATAATTGAATGAGCAATGCCAAATGATAACCAATTTATTTATTTTCTATTTATTCTAAAAAATACCCAGATCTGCAGCTTCCAAAGTTATGACTGACAGGGAATGACCAGCTTAAGAATTACAGTACACTGTGATTCAGAATCTTTTGAAGAGTCTGTATGTAGAGGCTGCACCTTGCCTCTGAGCTGTCAGGAGCTCAGTGCAGTGCTGTCACAGGGCCTGCGGTAATGTGGGGCGTCTTGCTATCTATGCCTGACAGAATCACACTCCTCTGAGCTCCCTCCTCAGTTGTACTGAGACAGCAGAAAGACAGAGTGAGCCACAGTACCATGAATAAAACATAAAGCATAATGAATTCCTGTAACGCAGCCCCACAAAAGAAAAAAATGAATGATCCCAGAACTCAGAGCACAGTCGACTTCCAGCTGGAGAACATTGGCCTGTGTACATTTCAAAGACACTTTGGAATCGTTACTGACAGATTTCAGGATTGCAGAGGTCTCTATTGGCTTAAGAAACAACTGATTTTGGGGGAGCCCAGCAGCAGAAATGCATCCGAATCTTGTCAGCTATAATAAGTTGTTTGACACTAAACATGAGACGTTACAAAGCAAATCATGACCACAGACAAATTTTCATCAAAGTTTCATTGAATTTGATGTGAAACCATTTTGAACAGGATGAATGTTGTCCCTTGAAGATCCCCTTTAGTTTTGGTGAGCATTTTCATAGAGCCGTGAGACCCGACATATACAGTAGCACAGCACCTAAAGTAATTGTTATAGAGCAGCAGTTTCTCCCAGTCTTGCCATTATGATTTGTAGCTTTTGAATACAAAGTGCTTATTTTTCTACAGACTATTTAAAGTAGTACAAAGAAAGATTTACTGTATATCAAACCAATGCAAAAAAAATCTTTGCTTGCAATTGTAATTGTTATGTTCACTTTCGATCGACTGTGAATGGATTGTTCCCTAAAAGCCAGTAAGACCAAAAAAAAAGCAGAAAGAACAATGCTGTAAAGCACACAAAAATATAAGAACACATGCATTACAAATCTGAAAGGCTTAAACAAACTGTGCTGTGGTTTGTTAAATAAATTGTCATTGGTATTTCAAATTTGTCGTAAGTGATACCAGAGCTGATTTAATGAAAATAAATACAAAGGAAAAAAAAAACATTTGAGGCAATGCTTTTCTTTTGTTTCCCTCATTGTCTAATTGGTCTAATCACAATCTGAGAATTTATAGGCTTTGTGGGCAAAAAAGGCTTTAATATTCAGCGAGTTGGATGGATCCACCCTTTTAGTATATGTTTTAGCTGAACACAGAGAGTTACAGTCAGTATTAATGAAGTCTGGTATTCCTGAGGTAACTGAAACTTGGGGATACCACACAGTCTGTGTACTGACTGGCGATCAACCACATGTTTGACCAACACTGGCCTGTAACACTGTGGCTCACAGACAACTGCAGGGCCTGAGCAATGAGATATCTGCAATGCAGGAGTCTATATATAGCAGGAGGTGAGAGCGGCAGAGAGGCAGGGAGGGGAAGGGAAAGACTGAGAGAAAAGCATCGAGAGAAAGAGAGGTGGCGAAGGGAGGTGAGAGAGAGTAAAAGAAAAACATGGGTCTCAGAGGCGGTGTTACCAAATGAACAGATCTGCAAAATCTAGATAATCCAAGGCAAATTGGGCTACAATTTCTCATGTCAAAATTGGCAAATCTAGTGGGGAGGCACAGTGGAGCAGTGATCAGCATTGCTGCCTCACAGCGCTGGGACCCTGGGTTCAATTCCCATGGTGCTGTCTGTGTGGAGTTTATATGTTCTCCCTGTGTTTGTGTGGGTTTCCACCAGGTGCTCTGGGTTCTTCCCACAGTCCATAGACATACTGGTAGGTTAACTGGCTTTTGGGGAAAATTGACCCTGGTGTGAGTGTGTGTTCCCTCCCATGGATCCCGGGATGAATGTCCATCCCCCCTTGCACCCTTCGCCTACTGAATTAGGTTCTGGCTCCCCATCAACCTTGCTTTGGTTAAAGCAGTTAAAAAATGGGTGAATGGCAAATCTAGCAATATGAGTGACTCTCAGCAGCGAGTGATAACTTCTGATATACACATCACCAAGCCATTGTCCAACATGTTTCTTAGCATAACACCCCCAGCACTCTTCCTGTCATTACACACCATACCAGTATAGCATACTTTCACACTGACGCTGTTACTGCCCACATCTCCTGTAGAGCACAGTCATCAGTGAATTCCCTCATATGAACCACTAAGACAGATGTGCACATTGGGAACACCAGGAATCTGGGATTGAAGCAGAAAGGAGTGAAATAGTTGGAGACAAACCGATGAGAATTTGGAAATACCAGAGGATTGGATACCAGAGGATTGGTGAAGACAAGAAACTGCATTGCAGTTGCTAAGATGAGATACACCAACCCTACTTGCTGCATATTCAAGGGACACAGAAAAACAGAACTCACAACATTTATATATTCATTCATTCCATTTGCCTTCTGCTTGAAAGACAGCTTTTGGTGGTGCAGGGGAGGTAAGAGAGTATGAGAGAACTAGGGTGAAAGGTGAAGGAGGATTGTTGGTGGAAGAGAGGGAGATTTAAAGAGAGGGAAGACAGGGGGAAGGATGAACAGATGGGAATGGAGGGACAGGACAGTGGAGAGAAAACGAGGAGGGGAGAGAAACGAGCGATTTTGTCTAATGGGAGAATTGAACAAGTAGGGGTGATGCAGCCTCAAATTAACATTAAACAGATTAAAGAACATGCTTTATTGATATCTAAAAAAAAAATAGCCAGCAGCCATATCACCCTGCAACTCACAACTGGTAACACACTGAAGCTAAGCAAGTGTGAGCCTGGTCAGTACCTGGATGGGAGACCTCCTGGGATAAACTAAGGTTGCTGCTGGAAGAGGTGTTGGTGGAGCCAGCAGGGGGTGCTCTCCCTGTGGTCCATGTGGGTCCTAATGCCCCAGTATAGTGACGGGGACGCTATACTGTAAACAGGCGCAGTCCTTCGGATGTGACGTAAAACCGAGGTCCTGACTCTCTGTGGTCATTAAAAATCCCAGGGTGTTTCTCGAAAAAAGTAGGGGTGTAAACCTGGTGTCCTGGCCAAATTTCCCATTGGCCCTCCTAATCCCCATCTATGAATTGGCTACATTACTCTGCTCTCCTCCCCACTGATAGCTGGTGTGTGTGGAGTGCTCTCCAGGTGGATGCTGCACATTGGTGGTGGTGGAGAGGAGTCCCCATTACCTGTAAAGCACTTTGAGTGGAGTATCCAGAAAAGCGCTATATAAGTGTAAGCAATTATTATTATTATATCTCTTCCAATGGTGAAAACATAAACAAACCCCTTGAGTACACTTTATCACATGGACAATAGCACCATAAAAATGTGATGCACAGTAAAGGCATCCAAGCTTGGATCAGCTTGGATGCCTTTATGAAGAACATATAAGCTAATCCTCTGGTATCCTTCAAAAAACGTTGTCAAGATCACTTTAGAATTCGGGGAGTGAGCTGCAGTGGGCCACATGCCAAGCAGCCTTGATTAAAGCAGACCCAGTTAGTTTGAATTCAAGACCAGTGGGTGTGTGAATGGCAAGTGGCACGTGGATTTGGGGAACATAGCCAGCACTGGGCAAGACTGTGCTACATTTCTAAGAGCACAGTCTAATTGGAATGGCCACTTCTGACGTAGGGGTAATGCAATTCTGAGGAAACACAAAGCATGTGGTGGAGATGACACAGCAGCACCTCAAGCTGATAGCTTGACCTTGTGCACACCAGTCCACAGCTGGCGTGCTGTGGATGCACTGTGGAAAAGCTGGGCAATGCCATGTCAATTTGAAGATGTTCCATTTTCTGTGCCAGTGCTCCATGTGAGAAGCAGAAAGTCTTGTTTACTTTATGGTCTGATATCTATCCGGTTAAAGAAAAAAAAGTAATTGAATAAAACCTCTCTAAAATACAGCAATTGGTAATTATGCACCTGAGCTCTGAGCACTTCTGTCTGAGTCCCCACAAGAGAAGTCCCCACTGATCAGCTCTTGCTGTGTCCTTAATTTTCCAAGTGAAATGCAATCACAGTCACGTGACACTTTAGTATCGCTTCATTAGCCCTGCAAATGTGGTATTCATCTTTGAAGCTGTTTTGCATGTATCAGAGATGTTCAAATGTTATATTTATTACATATTTAGTGTTTATCGTTATTTATCATTACACTATGCTGGGACATTAGGATCCACATAGAACGCAGGGTGAGCGCCCCCTACTGGTCCCACTAAGACCTCTTCCCTAGCTGCTGTAAAGACTCAGTTGCAGCTTTCCATGGGTGGAGGGAGTTGAATCCTGGGGGGAAAAGATCCATTCTTCAATTCTGGGAAGAACAGTAGAACAGTAGCAACAAAAAAGTCAAACTAAATAGACGTGGGCTGTAAGGAGAGGGACATGTGTTTCAGAGTTCATCTCTGCCAGTGTTTTACGATAAACTGAGATGTATTTTTGCTTGGTTGGCGGAGCGTGGAGACGACCTTGGCGCAGTTCATGCTCGGCTCTGGGGGGGAGAAGAGATCGCTCAGCAAGTTCTCTGTTCAGGAAAGCCATGCTTAACTGAGCGCCGAGCAGCAGTCCTCCGAGACGCACGCTAATAAAACAATAAATCCATCCCTTGCTGAGCATCTTCACTACCTGATAATTAAATTCACTTTAAAAACGCTTTAATAACCTTAAGACAGGCACTAAGGTCATCTTTACTTTAACCCTCTCCATGGTGCTGTAGCTCTTAATGGGTAGGTTTGCAAACTTAAAGCTTTTAAGGGCTGTTTGTTTGTTTTTTATTTAAAAGACAGGAACAGAAAAAAAATCTAAACTGGTTTGTTAAAATCACTTCAGGTTACTCCCCCACTTTTCAAAAAGAAAAGGTTCTGTACCTGTCACCGATTCAAGAAATCCAAGTTTGAATACTTGAGACCACATTTCCCAAAGCTGAGCTCTTCAAAGATAATTCTCTGTTAGATAATTACACTTGCTGAGTCATTGAAATAGTTCAAGCAGAATCTCAATGTTTGTAAAAATACATATGCCCAGCAACTAAAATTTAATTTTGAGCGGTCACACGTTCAGGAAATGGTGTTACAAACACACCTGGTAAATCCCTCACCATAAACACTCTAAGAGAGGAATTAAAAAAAAAATCTTAAATATACACACTACTGTGTGTGAGCTGTAAATTATAATTGAAAATCATCTGACAAAAATGCATAACAATGAAATTTTTAAATAACGGGATTCTGACCATGAAAACTCCAAGATTTGTGTAAAAATGTGAATCGGACTAAACAAGTGATTATTCTAAAAGCGATGTCGCCTACATGGCACAAAAGCAGAGTTTTCACAAGTTCATGTACACTGGTTTTAAATGACAGAAACAGAACAGAATATACGTTACTAGCATATAAAAGCAGGCTGCGCACACGGCTGGCCTGTTCCCTCTCATGACTTACACAATCAAAGCCATGGGCCTGGTAAGCCAAATTGCCACTAAACCACAGTGTGTGAATTTGCAGATGAATGAGAGGTAACTCATGTTAAAGCAGACTGATGAACAGACCGATGGGCATAAACATGAAATAAGGCTAATAGGAGGGAGGTTACACTTTTTAAAGAAGAAAACCTGTTGTTTCAGTCAATTAATTTATCCAATACTTTGTATGAGCTTATTGATAAAGTAGTTCTCATCTAGAAAGAATGACTGTTTCCTTTTGTTTAGAATTCTTTTCAAGCAGGCCATTAAACGTGAAAGAGAAAAGTCAAAGAAATAAATCTTCTGGCGGTCTTTTGGATTTACATTCAATTTACCATAGACTCATCATTATTTTTCTTTTTTCCGACCTCCGGTGTCTAACAGTTCACCTCAACTTTCATGTTATTTTCTTTTTTAAAAGAAAATATCTATTCCACATGTCTCAGGCTCAACCCCATGAACGAAAGTATCAAATCACAAAATGTGTAGTGTTTGTGACTAACTGAGAACATGACTGATATAATAGGGAAATTTAAGTACTGTACTGTTGCACAAAGATGACCATTGCTGTCTCCAAGCACCGGGGCCCTGGGTTCAATTGGGATGCTATCTGAATGGAGTTTGTACTTTCTCCCCATGTTTACATGAGTTTCTTCCAACAGTCCTTAATTGGCTTAATTAACAGTAAGTAATTGGCTCCAGGGAACATTGGCCCTGCTGTGAGTGTGTGTCTGCCTGCGCTGTGATGGGCTGGTATCCTGTCCGGGGTGCACTCTGCCCTGTGCCCGTTGCGTGCCAGGATAGGCTCCAGGTCCCCCAGGAGCCTGAATTGGAAGAAGTGATTAGAAAATGGATGGATGAAAGGATGGATATTTCTACGGGAGAGGGACCTTTGGGAGTCCGTGTTTCCCACATGTGCAGGATTTTCTTCTGCAGTTTGCTTGAGAATACCACTGATGTTTCAAAAATCTGCTAAGAAGTGCAGCTTACTTGCATGCGTGCTGTTGCCAACATCATCCACCCACTGCTAAAATTCTTAAACTGCTTTTCAGCAAATATTTGATTTGCTTTAGAACTTCCAAAATGCAAGTTTTTATTTTCAATCGCAGGCAAACTGCCCTCTCCTTAGCAAATGAATTAGCATGGCAGTTTACCCACAGCTTGCCCTTGGTTCAAACAATGTACGAACAACGTATTCAATGTATTGCTTGCTCACAGCATTTCAAAAGCATCTGTCTAATGTGCACCTCAAGCCGCAGCACTGTTGATGTAACAAGACTCCCTTTTGCACTTTCAATAAAGAAAAGAAAAAGGTTCTGTTTCAATTCTCCTTGACAGTGCAAACTCATGGTCCAGTGCTTAGAACTACGGGTGAAGCACAGTGGGACACTACTGTGAAGATTAAAAACCTGCACGGGAAACGAGCAAGTTGCTGCACTGAACCATTTCAGGGCTTATGAGCTGCAGACTCTTGCATAACACATGGTGCAGGATATTACACTCCGGGTACTGTACTTCATTGTGATTAAATTGGCTTGGAATTAAATGTCATTTCTTTTGCTTCATCAGTACAATTTGTACAGGATCTTTCAGCTCATAAATCTTAATGGAGCAATGTAGTCTATGACTATTTCCCCAGCGACGCATGCACACTGAAAACTCATTGGTATCAAGGCAATAAAAAAGCCAAGGCGCAGGATTGGGTTGTTAAATGGTTTTATTTGGCATTGGGAAGAATGTGCCACTGCAGTGTGTGAGAAGTCAATGCAGCGGTTTTGCAGCACATACATTGTCACAGTTGTTGAGCAAGTGAAGTTTGTACAATTCTATTCCAGTGCTTCTGGATACACAGTAAGTGATATTTTATTTAAGGCAATTCATTAATTTGACAGTCAACAAGCAAACCAGTCTTATCCATCTATATCAAGCTCAAGGTGTGAGGCCATGCAACATGATTTATTGACTGATTGGTTGAACTATATGGATGTAAACCATTTTCTCTTTAAATACGAAAAGCTGCCCCGTCTTCTTCAGATATCAATTCCCCCTCCTCTCTAACATTGTAATTTTCCTCCAGTACCATTTACTGTAACAAAACCCATGAAACTCTAATATTTACCTTTTCAAGCATTCATTGAAACAATCATATTTCTATCATCTTTCCCTAGTTCTACACTATCCTGAACTGCACTGATCACGTAAGAATTTATACAAAGCCTTGTATTAAATCAAGTGTATTGATTTCTGTAGTATAATGCACAAATGATGACAAAACCTTCTATCACCAGGACAATTTTCTCTAAATGTTGGAGAAAAGACAGTTTGGGAGAATGAAAAGGCTAAGAGGGTGAAAAAAAACTTCTAAAAGAAAATGTTTCTTCTTTTGTTCATATTTATTATGTAACATAATTTAAGGCAGGTGTCTGCAGTAAATGCAAAGTGCTTTCCGTGTCACCAACAGATGCTGAGACCGAGACAGCCTTTGTGCAGCTGACAGGGATCTGTCTACAAATGCCTTAGCCCCTTCACTTCCACGACCTGCCAGAGAAGAAAACAACTTCTCATTGAACGTCTTCATCACTGCAGGCCCTGAAGGCTTGAAAAAATTAAAATGGCATCATGTCAATTTTAAGGAAACCTACGCATTAGCAATCATAAACAGCAGTACCCTGTATCTTACATCTGATTGAACACCTTAACAAACAAGCACTGAGCAACTGAAATAAGTGGTTGCTTAATGAACAACCATTACCACAAAAGCTACCTTTGTTTCAGACTCAAGGTGCCAATACCAGTGTCTGTAATGATACGTATGTATTTCAATTTTCAACAACATCTGTCATGCATGGCAATAGCTCAATTTTTTTTTCAGGATGCCACCAAAATACATGGCATGTGCTCAACAATACCAATTACGAACAAGGTTCAGAGTATCAGTACAATCTAATATACCAAGATCAAATGCTGTGTTTGCTCGGTTATGGGTCTGACTGCTTAAGGAAGACACTACACATTTAAAAGTAACAGTATTTGGGCAGTAAAACTGACCTCTTCATTTCAACATCCTCATACAATGCAACTATCTAAAGACCAAGGTGCTCAACCTTAGAATCACCACTTGGTTAAGACTTGGAACACCTGTTGTCACCAGGTTGAGATCTGGCTCAGTTAATTCAATGATGGTCAACTGTGGTGCTTCAAGATGTACTGTAGATATTTTCATGTCCAATGATTCCTAAACTTAATTGAACAAATCACCTGCTTCAGGGGTCAACAATGAAATTGGTCCAAGGATGCAGAAAGCAATGATTTGATGACCCAAAAACTCTGACTTGTGGCTTTCTTAGGTGAGGATTGCCCAGCCTTGATTTAAAGTCTCATATGTGTAATCAGCAATGTATCTTTAATGTCAGGTCTCCCTCAGTTCTCAAATGCCGAACTGTGCCATTTTGGGACTTAAAAGATCAGGTTCACCTATTGGATTATGGACACTGAGGACTGGAGTTAAAAACCCTTGAAGGAAAAAGTGTGGGGTACCAGACCAGAATAAAGTAAAAAATATCTTTCTCATCATTTACCATACAGCTCCATTAGGCATGTTAAAATAACCACCGCCATAATCGGCAGAAGCATCCTGTATTGTCACAATACATCTGAGCCTTTGGAATACAAACATACTTGCCTGTGACAGCTGACCATATAACAGGCCCTGCATGTGCACAGGGCCAGACTATCTGGTGTTTTGTCTTTGTTTTTGTTAGGAGGGCTCCTTTGAGTGTTACCTTTGTGTCACAGCTGCTCATTTTAATGTGGTAGGGCCCTGTAAGGCTATGGTTCACTTGAAGCACTTGCTGAGCTTGCACTCATACTACTGTGTCACTGGCTCTACAAGTCTAGAGCACCTCAACCGTCTTCACAAACACATTTCCAAGCATCAAGGGGCCTTCAGCTACCGCAGATGGAAACGGCAATCAAATCTCGTCTTTTGCCCTCGCAATAAAAGAAACAAAAAAAGGAATTTGTCAGACTTAACACTTTCATGCTCAAGATGCTGACTACATCTCTCTTAGCATGCTTGTGTGTTTGTGCCGATAATGACGTTTTCAAGTTCAGTACTCGTCACAGCTACGTTAACTAATGTTTCCCTTACTGAGTTGGTCACTAACGTTTCTCAGGTGATATTAACCATCAAACACTAACTCACCTAGAGACATAAGAATGAAAGCAAAGGGCTGAAAACAATGGAAATAGCCAGCTACCCCTTTGGATACATACAGCCAACTCGCATTATTACATTCAGTGCTGTGCTGAAGGAGTGAGAATCAGGTAGAGTTTAAGGTAAAGAGAAGTGAACAGATACAATTCTCTGGAGACTGTAACGGCACTGAAGCCAAAAATGAGATTTGATTTACCCTAAGCAAGAAAGCTAGTGATCTCACGCGTTGAGTGAGAGAGAGGGAGAAAAAAGAGGTACAGACAAAAAGCCAGGTGTACTTAGCCAAATCGAGGGATCAAGAATCGTAGTCTATGTTCAGTCACAGGTCAGGAAGCCGGAGGATCAGACGTTTAATGAGTTGCTCAAAAAGCGAGAGGCAGGCGCTCCACTGGTGAAACCACTACTGAGCGTTGTGGTGATGGTAGTGAACCCTTAAGTATTCTGGGTAGCAGAAGGTGCGGTGAAGAGGGAGAGGCGCGATTGGATGATTAGTTAATACGTCGGGGTTTGTGGGAATTGGAAAGAGCTGGTGTCTGGTTGTCTGGGGTCGTGAGAATGCTTCGGCATTTGCAGGAATGTGTGGTCGTGACAGGGACTCTAGCTTTTTTTTGTTACTATTTCAATGAACGCAAAACCATGTTCACTGTGCCCAGTAAATGAGACACTAGGCACTCAGGAGTTAAATTACAGTAGTAAAAAAAAAATGGCAGGTCTCCATATTCCTTGGCATCAGCTTTTCCTGAACAGAGAGATCAAAATGACCCTCGAGGCCTTGTGAAGGAGCTGCTGCTACAGTATGCTGTTTCAGTAGCATTTAAAGACAATAATTGTTAGATGTATTGTTGCATGACTGCAGTGTGAGAGTGGAGGGGATAGAACACAGTGTATTTACTGTACAGGTGCATCGATATCAGATTGGAGGGGCACCGGTGTTAAATGTAAGTGCCTGCCGTTAATATATGCATATGCTATGTGTATATGACTATAGCCTTTTACTCCAGAGAAAGATTGTCATTAAACTCTATTGGAGTTCTTTCCATTACCTTTGATGAGATCTGCTCTCACATCTGTGCATGTCTGATCACTGCTCACTTCTTTCTTCTAGTACTTTACCCTCAGCTTTTTGATCTACAGTATCTGTTCAGCATCTTGAAACAGTGCAAATATAAGACTTAGTTTTTGGAGTTTCACAGTGCAATATTTCTTCCTATATTATTTTTGGGACCTCATTTCTTGTTTTTGTACTTGCTCATTCCACAGTGGCTGCCCTGCTGAATCCTGACTATTCGAAGCACATTCAAATGGTGTTTACCATGTCTAGGTGTTAAATGCTATAAAACTGAATTGGTACCTGCTTTGAAAAACTGCAATTAGACATACTGATTGTGTGATTGAATAGCACCTTGGATTAACTGACCTTAGTAATAATACAGTGTATTCTATGGATAAGAAAGTCCTAAGTACTTCACTATGATGTGCTTGTAGATGCTTCACATCAATATCCAAATGAAGATCTCAGGTCAGTGGTAAAAATGCATGCCGATCGCCACTGAATATTCCTGTCTAATTTTGCACGTGCTCACTGTGCTTGTAAATTTAACACCAGGCTCTGCAATGAGGCTTAACGAGCGAGCAGCGTGCATCTTCGTCATGCTTCACTGTGCTTTTAGTGCGATGTGCTGTGGCAGTTTGGAGAAACACTGTGAGCAGTCAGGCTTCGCAAGAGCTGCCATCACACCTGATGGGCTTGCTGTGATTTTCTGCTGTCCTTTCCTATACATGAAACAGCATTCAGTGTTGAAAAGTGTCATTTAACATTTTAGATATACAGGGGCGAGGTCTGGCTCGTTTTCCTGTTAAACAGTACAGTCCAGCAACACTTGATTTTATTTAAAAATACTGTATCCTACTTTAAAATTCCTTTGAAGTATAGCAGGAATTCTTTTTGTAAATGGAGAATGCACTTGTGTCATGAACTATACCACTAGAGTACAGTTTGGTCATAAATGCTGAACTGTGATTTTTTCAATCTTTTAAGCAGAAATGTCTAAAGTGCCTTTACTTTTATCCTTCTCTGTATCTGCAGCTTATACGTCTTCAAAGAGCGTGTTGGGAAAGTCATTTCTATTTTACGATCTGAGTGTATTTTTACTTAACGCTCGTGCTGTTGCGGGGCTGTGGTGCAGTGGCATCGACGAGGGTGTGATGGAGAGGTGTCTGGACATGGGGGGACAGGAATCAGCATGTTTCACCGGAGGAGGCTGGGAGTTTTTTAGCTCTTGCTGGTTGGTGCGGCAGACGGCTCTTTCTTCTCCTCCTTCTCTTCCTCCCCCTCCTCCTCCTCTCCTTCCTCTTCTCCTTCCTCCTCCTCTTTCTCTCCATTCTCCACCTCCTCTTCTTCCTCCTCCTCTCCCTCCTCTTTCTCCTCTTCTTCGGGCTCCTCCAGCTTGGCCCCCATCCTCCTGTACAAGGTGCTGCTGCTCATGGTGTAGGACCTGGCTGCAGAGTAGAGGGAGGACGACACAAGTCCGGGGTAGCCCGACTGCAGGAGTGCACCCCCTACCGAGCTCAGACGGGTCTCCTCGCCTTCCAGCAGCTTCCTGCATTGTGAAGAGGAAGGGACACAAGAACAGAAAGAGAAACTCAGGGGTGAGGCTAGACAGGGGCAAAGAAAAGAGGAGGCAGATAAGGGGAGAGCAACGCTTTTCACTGAACAAATGAATCAGGTGTTGACCGCTCTTCATCTCCTGAGTTTGTTCATCTTATATCCTGCTCAGTTCAGCCGTTCTGGAAAAGGATCCCCAGACAGGCTGCCACAGCTGGTTTCCTGAGGTCCTTCAAAGGACAGTTTCGTCAGCACACCCCGTTCCTCGCAAGAAAGTCCCGTACCTGTAGGCGGCGATCTCGATGTCCAGAGCCATCTTGACATTCAGCAGGTCCTGGTACTCCCGCAGGTGGCGAGACATCTCCCCCTTCGTGTTCCGCAGCGCGTTCTCCAGCTGCTGGATCGCATCCTGCAAAAGTGCAAAGACCGCCCCTTCGTCAGGCACACTCCTCCTCGGCTGAACGCACGCATCTTATCCCTGCACTGGGAATATCTGTGAACTGCAGTGTTGTAGCTTTCCAGTGTCCCTTTATGGGGAAATGACACTCTCCCAGTGTCATACAGCACATCCGGTTTTAACCTGTAACTTCTCTAGTTACTAGCTTATTGATGTTTGTCCCATTTTATAATTATTACACATTAACTAGCTGTGTAATCAATGACGTTAAGAATACATTAAGGTAAAACAGATGAAACAGGAGACAATTCTTGTTTTTGATTTGTCCATTAAGGAAATGTGAATCTTAATCTTTTATTAGACACAAGCTCCCCAGTAAAGTGATTATAATTACTGTGACTGATGTTCTGTTCTGAGCTGTTATGTGCAAGAACAGCAGAATGCTGCTTGCTGTTAAAGGTGTAATTCCCAGCACCAGCACTGCAGACTGGTTGTGGTAGAGCAGCTTGTGCTCTTTAATTGCACTAAGAGCACTTTAACACTGAAATGCACAAACTGTCTCATCGGGTCTCCTGCACCACATCAGTGAGCTTGCACACAGTACAGTACCAGCAGGGGGCGCCTCCCCCTCACCTGCAGCTCGCTGGTCTCCGCGGCATGGCGGTCCTCCAGCTCCTGCAGCTGCCTCTCCAGTGCCTCGTTGTGGCTGCGCAGGGCCTCGATCTCCAGCGTCCGCGCCTGCATCTGCCTCCGGTACTCGCCCAGCTCCTCCTTCGTCTGCTTGACGGCGTCCGAGTTGCGGGCGGCGGCCTCCGTCACGCTGGCAAACTTGGACTTGTACCAGTCCTCTGCCAGCTGCTGGTTCTTGGCCGACAGGCTCTCGTACTGCGCCCGAATGTCGCGCAGAGCCAGCGCCAGGTCGGGCTTGCTCATATCCATCTCCACCGACACCTGGCCAGGACACAGAGGAGCACCAGCACAGTGACCAGTTTAATCTCACAGAGCCTCGTGTTCCCCCCACCTTTCCCCTGTGCAAATCCACAAATCTAGGAAGAGCCTGTGCAGAGCAGGTATACAGAAAGAGAAGTGCTTTTGGTTTTGCTTAATTGCTTTATTTTGTTTTTCATTCAACAGCTTGCGTCTTCCTCGTACATAAAAAAGTCACAAGGCCATTCAGACGCATTTACTTGAGGATCTTTGTGAGAGCATTAAACATAAAAATGTTCCCATTGTATTTTTCGCTTAGCCTGTCAGTAAAAAGTCAGAATGCTTTGACTTTTTGAAATTGTAGACTTATCCCAGTTAACACGCAGTAGGTCTGTAACTTTGGTTGGTAACTGTTTGTTTTGTGATGAAACTAAAAACACGGCAAAGGTCTCAGAGGACAAGAAAAACTCTTGTTGGCTCTGTGACTTCTGGACTATCTATAACTTCTCCCGCCTCCCCAATTTCAAGCCTTAATGCTTACTGAAATCCCACAGTTTTCCTGACTGAATGCACGGACCAGACCTTCACTACAGCAGTGATGAATGATGGGTGCTGCTGGGGTAACACTGTTGGGGTGCTCCAACATAAGACTGCAGGCTCAGGCTGTAGGTGCCCAGCACCCCAGAATCAAGGCTGTTGTAGCACCATGAACATCCTAGAGTGCAGAATTCCTAACACACAGAGATTGAAACCAAAACACGATGGTTTTGTGTTTTCAAGATGCGTTTCAAAGACTAAAAATAGAAAATATCATTCCGTTCAATGATCACATCTTTTTCGGACTTCCTAGAACTTCTTTCATGTCGTTACAATGGGAAAACATCAAGGTTCCAGTCCAAGACTGGCCAATCGGAGATAGGCAGTATCAGTTATATTATCTAAAAGCTGCATAAATGTAGCTGGAGTGCACAAGTTTTCAAACAGAGCTGCAAGAGCTTCTAATTGGCCAAAAAGACCACTGATTAAGACTCATTACTTCACACATATGCATTCTCAAATGATGAATAATGATACTATATACATTCATGTCATTCCACCTCGCTTTGGCTTTTGGATTTTGGTTCTAGGCAGTGCTGCAGTAATGTCTGAAAGCTGTGTTTCTTAAAAAAATATATATATTTTTGCATTGCCAAAAGCCAACTCACGGCGCATCAACACTGGAGTGCTCCATGCACTGCACAGAGCATCCAAAATATCAAGTTCTCCCTAAATCTCTCCTAGAATCCAAGAATATGAAATTACAGAAGGCGGGGAGCCCATTCAATCCTTCTTACTCATTCTATACATCATTTGTGTTTTAATGCCTTTGCACTTTTCTGTCCTTCTTGTAGACATATTGCTTGTGTCATGTAATGGTCCGATACCTCCATGTATTAGACCCCTTTATCTGCATGGCCAATACAAAATATCCAACTGGGTATGGGTTGAGCCTGTGGTTTGTGCTGCTTAGGAGCAAAGCTTCAAAAATGGGGGTTTAAAACAAAGCCCTTTTGGGTTCAAAAACCAAAATAAAGCAATTATGCAAAACCAAACTAATTTGCGTGAGTCCTCTTGTGAGAGGAATCAACATTAAAGGTTCTCATTTTATTTTATTTTTTGCTTAGCCTGTCGGTAAAAAGTCAGAATGCGGTGAATTTTGAACACCCCAACAGAGAGTATTTGATTTGTTCCGACGCTGTCACCAGATCAAGCTGCATCAGCTTGTCTGAGCGGAGACAGAGCTGGGGGCTGCTGAATCGAATTAGTTTCTTTCTATACCCTTTCCCTTGGAAATGCACAGCAGCTGGTGTTAATTTTACTAGTGCAGTGTGCTCCCCAGAGGCTGGTTTAACATTCAGAGCAGAGAAACATTACAGCAGGAGACAGAAAGAGACCGAGGGAAAAGGTTCCACTGTTTATCTCACTGGAAAGGTTTGTCCTTAATCATCATTTGTTTTAAAAGGAGCGATGCACAGCAGGGGCTGGGGCTCTGCACTACTCACTGACAGGCTGTGGGTTTAGGGCCCCACTGCAGACGCTACAGTTGGAATATTATGGTTATTTACAGTACAGTATGTGTTTGGCAGACATTCCTTCCCAGCTGGAAATTACGTTTACAGTGTGTTGTTCCTTTAATCAAGACACTTCACCCCAGTTGCTCCAGTCCACCCAGCAAGGGAAGACTAGGGTTCCAGCCTGGGGAACCCACATGCACCAGCCCGAGTCACACCCCAGAAACAGGGAGGGGCTGTGGCCTGGCTGGCCGCAGGCTTTGTGTGGACGTTACTGCTACCCTCTCTGAAAGTCAGGACAAAACAGTTCGCAAAGTTTTGAAACATTTCTGTAAAAATACACAATCACGCACAGGAAGATAATGAGATGCTGTTGTGTTGTCTATATGCTTTGAGTTTACAGTGTTCCTCTACCTGTGGTAATAGGATACCACAGAACTGCAGGTCTTTTGATGACTAAAAATATACCACAATCTGATGACACATTTTTGCCTTGTTGTGGATCAGCTTACTAAAATGCCCTTTTCTAGATGAAAGCTGGTTACCTTTTCCAGCTGGACTTGCAGTGTCTCTCTGATCTCTGTTTCTCTGTCTTTTTATTCATATCAATAGTGGATTAGGAATGAAAGGTGGAGCTTTTGGGTGTTTGGATGAAGATTATAGCATTAGGAACTATGAAAAGACCAAGCAACTGCGCACTACAAGGTCAAACCTAGTGCTTGTGGAAAAGGAGAAAAGAGACTCAGCCTTCATTCTGTCACGGTGCGGGTGAAAATTATTTTATTGGATGTACTTCCAAACCCTATACCAGCCTTGCCCAGCCAGCTCCTACAATCCATTTCCCTATGAATTCTGAATACATAGAAAGCAGGTGAATGACCTGCCCATTAGTAATACACAAGATTTTCACTTTCATTAAATTTCATTAATGTTGAAAACCAAAATTTATTTCATTAAATAAAAATGGAGAGCGATTTTATTACTTTTTTACTCCCCATAATGTATAAATAAATCACCGTACTGCACCTCAATATAAATGTCATTATTTATAGACATCCTTTATATTGTTTTATATGGTCACCTAGAGCACATCAATTATTGAAAGTTGAAATGCAGAGGTCTGAATTCTAAAATGTTTTCTTTGTTACTAGATACATTAGAAATCGACGCGTGCTGATGCAACTAGGGGAAAAGGGAGACTTCTGCACTATTTAACTGCGGAAACTCTAGAGATCTGTCAATAATCATGTAGCTGGTAGCGAGGCAATGCTGGAACGGAATTCTTCAGTTGTCTGTCTGAGCGATACAGAAGGACACGCGGCGTCCTCCTCGGTGCCACACCTAGAATTATGCGCTACTGTTCATCTGCGGCTCTGCGCGAGTATTTCCCCCGGGACCACTGCGATCCTCAGGAGACTGGCGCGTTAAAGCAGCGACACGTTATTACGGGGATTTCAAAATTGCTGATGTATGGAAGGCAGCAGCACATCTGCGTATTTATGTTCTCTGCGATGCGTTTAATTCATTCTTGCTTCTTCTTTTCTCCAAGACCAGAAAAAAAAAGTCTAATGAAGCTTCAGTTTGGGTAATTGCATTGCGTCTTTTAACCCTGTTCTCCTGCGTAAAGAAATGACTTCTGCAGCCAACCGAGTTTAAATGGAATGCTAATAATGTCTCCTCTCAGCTTGGGCGCCGCACAGGGTTGGATTTGCTGAGCTCCCGAGTTGGCGCAGCCGGCCGTGACCGCAGTGCCTGGGAAGTTTGGAGCGGGGACACCCCGGAACGCGAAGCGGAACGGAGACGCAGCAGGAAGCAATAAGCAAATGCAAGCCAGTAAATTCACTTAATTTCACATCTGATGTCCGGCGGACACGGACCTGCGTACTCTCGAATCGTGTCAGAGCGTGTCGCCATTATTTGTGCATTAAATGGGGTCTAACAGAACCTAAAACACGCAATTACGTGTCAGGGAGAAAACTGTCAACCTTCATGGAGGATATAAAAGGCACTCTGGGGGAAGCACTGCTCTGATTAACCCCCTTCAGATGTGTGACATGAGCCTTATTGCTGTATGATGTTTCTGGGGCGCTATATCCTACCTGGGACGCCTGCATGGAAGTCTGCAACTCCTGCACCTCCTCCTCGTGCACTTTCCTGAGGAAGGCGATCTCGTCCAGCAGCGACTCGACCTTCTTCTCCAGCTCCAGGCGGGCGAGCGTGGCGTCGTCCACGTCCTTGCGGTATCCCTTCAGCGTGCCCTCCGCCTCCTCCCGCAGCCGCGTCTCCTCGCCCAGCCTGTCCTTGACGCGCTCCAGCCCCTCGCTCATCTGCACGCAGTCCAGGTGCATCTGGCTCTTCTCGTGGGTCAGCTCCTCCACGCGGGCCCGCAGCTCCCGGATCTCCTGCTCGTAGAGCTCGTGGAGGCGGGAGGGCTCGGACTGCCGCTGGCGCAGGAGGGTGACCTCGGCCTCCAGGACCTTGTTCTGCTGCTCCAGCTGGTGGACCCTCTCAATGAAAGTCACGAAGCGGTCGTTCAGCCCCTGCAGCTGCTCCTTCTCGTTGGTCCTGATGATCTTGAGCTCGTTGGTCACCGCCGTGGACTGGGAGAGCTCGAAGCTCTCCGGCAGGGCGGAGTACGTGGCTCGCCCTGTCCCGATCTTGCGGTAGGCAGACGAGGAGACCCCCGAGGACGAGACATAGTTGCGGGAATGCAGGGCCGGGCCGGTCCGGTAAACGGAGGCTCGGGAGGGGCTGCTGCTGACGGAGACCCGCGCTGAAACTCGAGGAGCGTCCCCGAATATCTTCCGATAGGAGCTGGTGGAGTAGATATCGGTGGAATAACTCATCGTGTCGTGACGGTGTCCTCCCCCGGTTCTTCCGACAGCCGGTTGCAAGAGAGCGAGTGAGTGTGACCGACAGCGAAGGACGGAGAGACGCAACTGCTGCCTCGCAGGTCAGCTGCATTTATACCGCGGCGCCCGCCGCATCGTTTGACGTGCTGGGCAAGGAGGCGGGGTAGACGGGCAAATCTGCAAACATCTGCAAAAAAATGCCCAATTCCGCTGAGGGGGAAAAAAGGAGAGAGAAAAAAAACTCCAGACGCGTTTTTTTTTTTTTATTTCGCCTTCGATGTTTCACCCCTTTCCACACCGTTGGTGCAACAAACAAACGCAAAAACGACGATGCCACGAAAAATGCCACATCATACCAACAAGTAGAGTAGTAAGATCAGCCGGTTGATGAGTGTTGCTTACAATAGTTACGCCCAAGTAAAAATCCCGAGAATCAAAAACCTAGAGACTGGAACCAAATGATGCCGCTGCGTCTAGCTGAAGTCACGTGACGGCCAACACCCATTTCTGAAAAGGCTCGAGTCAGAGCAGTTACTACTTTTCAAGAACTTCAACGCAAATTCGCTGCCCCCCCCCCCGTGATATTGACTCCGTGGCTCCACGTACACGTCTGTGCGTTCACACATTTCAAATAAATAAGAATAATGCGTTCAGCCCTGAGAGCTCCCGGGTGCAGGAGGCCGTGGCTGGAAAACTAAGGCAAGAGCGTGACGAGAACGGTGGTGATATACAGTCTGCCAGCTTTCAAAGAGTTATTTGTCAAAAAATAAAAGGATTCTAGTGACTGGGGGGCTTAAACACTCCCTGGGTTCTTATTTATTACTAGCTCGATGTATGCAACGCTTTTGAATTTCATCCTAGCTGTTAACGCACCATATCGATCACGTGAATTAGTCATTGCTCCGTATGGATTGCAGTACGGTGGTAATGTGCGATCCTGGCATATCATTGCCATTCATGCATTTATGCTTGAAAAGATGTTTCTTCACTCCGGATCCTTGCAGGAGGGGGAGTGGGGGCGTGTGTGTGTGGGGGGGGGATAAATTCTGACTGCAGAGTTGTGAATTCAGAAGTACCAGCGACGAGGAGAGAAAAGACAGGTTTATTGCCTTCAAGCAGAAAAGGAGGGCGGGGGAATCAATGAGGGGAAAAAATCCATTCCCTTTTTGGCAACTGCTTAAAGACTTTAAAGACGGGAAGGATGCGCGGTGCTTTTCAAGGGTTTCATCGCGATCATACCACCAAACCGGACCCTATTCCCTTACCCCCGTTGGAAAGATGATAACATTTCCTCTCCTGTCAGAGTTTCGTGCGGAATGATTTGAATACATGCTGCACAGTGCGCCAAACGCTCGCTCCCTGCAATGCCTGCATATGAGATGAGATCGCGGTTATATTGAAGTGTCCAGTGTATGAGGGTGGAGGCGGGACTGAGCGAATGAAGGTCAGTCCGTCTCCAAAACCCATCGATTGCCACTACGTCTCCTGTCGAAGAAGAACCGCAGTAAAATATTTTTTTAGATAAAATTAGAAAATAAGTACCGTGTTTGTAGAATATTATATGGATAATATATATATATATTTGAATGGGCAAAAAAAACCTCGTATTTACTTTCCTGAACGATATCACAAAAGATCTGGTGCTGATACCGATATGATAGTGAAAATTAAATACTATTAACGGGATCAAATAGAAATAGAAAATGACTCCTCAGTTCTTCTAGAGCTGTCTTTTTTTTTAAATGAGAATCGATCAACTAAAAGGATTAGAAGGATTTGGATTATTAGAACATTTCCGTATCCTTCCTTCCACATGGAAGAGCAGAGTGTGAAGGCGGCAGTTACATTATTTATGACTTTATTGAGTCGTTTCCACAGTCTGCCACGCAGTGAGCGAGCGGGTTTGCCGGATCGAAGGTGATTTTTCACGCTGTACGGATCGCGGTGCTTCATCGATCCGGCTGATGCGCGCGGACCTCACGCCGAGAAAATTGCTTCCAGAGCGCGCCGAGCCGAGACCGGAGGCAGAGAGCGCGAACGACTGCTGTCCGAGGTGCTGAAAATGCGGCCCGACCCCGAAGAAGATAGGAGAAAATCCCATCAAACGTAGCTGACTCCGACCCGGGACTGTAAAACGGATGCGTGCAAAGGTGTACTAGCTCAGTTCAGTTAGGTTGTGCCTCTCTTACATTATGACCTCGTCTTTCCCGGCTGTCATGCCCGCTGGTTCGTTCAGAAATGTCTTAAGGCTTGATGAGGGAATCTTTTTTGCGCCTGGTGCCTAGTTTATCCCATCTCTCTGGAAGCTGAGTGCCTCCATCCCGAACTGACTTTGAGTCCTATACGGCTATACGGTATGTGGCATCCGTGTTGTAAACCGCATCTGTGTTGTGAAAAGATTAGGGGTGTCATGGACACATTTCCTCAAGGAGACTAGTTGTGGTCTCCTAATAATCCCCGGCTCTGAACTGGCTTCATCACTCTGTTCTCCTGGTGTGTACTGGTGCACTTTGGCTGCCGTCGCATCATCCAGGTGGATGCTGCACATTGGTGGTGGTGGAGGGGAGTCCCCATTACCTGTAAAGAGCTTTGAGTGGAGTGTCCAGAAAAGCGCTATGCAAGTGTAAAGATTATAGATAGAAATGTTCACTTTCGTGTTTCACGAGGAATGACGGCAGCCGGAAGCTTGGGAGAAATTAGAATCATTTATTGAGATGTGGAGATTTGGCGTAACCCGCTTGGCTGAGGGCCGACCTCCCGGCCGTTGGACGGGGAGGATAGGACCCCCATGCGACCAATGGGCTAGCTGCAAAGGTGCAGGAGGGATGCAGAAAACGAACGAGGAAGAGGAGAGGGTGACGTTTGATATGACGTCACCTGCTCTGGTACGCCGGCTCTTACACAGTGCCTGTCGGCCGTAAGCGTTACAATATATATGGAGACCGGTTGCTTACGTCAGGATTAGTGAGAATTGCGGTAGCTGTGTCGAATGAGCTCGGCTGCTTTCATTCCTCCCGAACTTTCATTAAAAACTCAATTCACGCGTGGAGGTAGCCCGCAGCGCCAAGGTCTTTCACTCCACAAAATCTAACTTGGTGAGATGTAGCGAATGGAGAGCCGATCTGGTGTTACTACAGGTCCCAGCCTACCTGTCCAGGAGGCGGTCAGTCCCAGTGCCTTCGCCGCCCCTCGGTTATTTACACCCGGGCAGTGGCTTTGTGACTGGTCCTCTGTCCGCTCTCCTCCGGGGGGGTCCCCGGCCACGCCCTCCGCAAGGGTTTAAAGAAAACGACAAGTTTTCCACATTACTTCGGTTCTCTGGACATGTAACGGCGGGTCGCCACAAGAGGGCGCTGCTAACACGTCACACTTAAGCTTGGCTGACAAAGAGGTGGCCTCCGCCGGCCTTCTCTGTAGCTTACGCCAATGTTGCTCTTTCTCTTTTTGACACGTCTCCATCCCTTTTTAGAACTGCTTTATCCAATACAGGATCCTGGGGGAATGGGAGCCTATCCCACCAAGCAAACGGGAGCAAGGCAGGATACACCTGGACAGTAACGCCAGTCCATCACAGAGCACACACCCAAGGTTTGTCCCCACCCACACCAGGGCCAGTTTCCCCAGAAGCCAATTAACCTACCAGCTGGTCTCTGGACCGTGGGAATAAACCCACACCAGCACAGGGGAAATACACAAACTCCACACAGACAACACCCCAGGAATCAAACCCAGGGCCAGAGCGCTGAAAGACAGCAGTGCTAACCACTGCACCGCCATGCTGCCCCTTTTTGCCACTTATCTCAAGTTAATTTGCAACATGCTAAACGGTAGCACATTGTATTTTATGATTCAAAGTCTCTTCCGATATAAATTTAGCGCCGAGAGCTGAACCAATTTAAATGGGCCAATCTCTTTGTTAACATCTCATCTTCGGGGGAAGAATTCCTGAAGGTATCCTTCAATTAGCCACTGATTAAGCCATTAACTGCTGATCTGACTAATCAGCTTATCTACTCGTCCGCGTACTTTCAGTTTACGCCTTCCGGTCACAGCGCGCGAGAGGAGGGATCACTGTCAAAGGTGACCACACATCGAGTCCCTGATTCAAGTAATTAGTGTAATTTAGTCATGAAGAACAGAGGGAGGAAGAAAAGCATATGGTGATGACTGCAGTGTTCCATTTCTGATCTAGATGGGCTGGAGTTGGCGAATCAGTCAGTTTAAAAAAAACACAATGCTATTATTATTATCCTGGTAATTATCCAACAACAAAAAAACGATACCCTCAGTCTCCAGCAGAGGGCGGAAGGGCTTCAATATTGTTTATGATCCCTGGTTTTTGTTGTAGATCCTGTCGTGTTTGTATTCAGGAGTGTTCCTCTGTCTCACTTCGGCTCAGAAAATATTTGTTCTACAGCCTTTTTCAATATTCTGAATTCGACCCTTGGTTACCCTCCACCCTTTTGGTAACCAACCTGCAGGGTGGAGAGCCTGCTGGGGTTCTGTCATGCTGTCTGCGAGTCTTTCTTTATCAATTTAGTGGCCTGTTAGAGATGGATGTGTTATGGTAGGCTGGAGGCCCAATACATTGTCACTCAGGTCCAGAAAAAACAATCTGACCATTTCTCCCATGAGACGATGTTTCTGGAAAGTGTCATTAAAATTGAAAGTGGGAGATAAAAAAGGCCATGTTTGGTTGTTTTCATATGGTACTGCATGATCCTTTGGCTCATCTTCATTGTGTAACTAATGACTAATAAATGAGACGCTCATCAAATAAGAATTCACGATGTTTTAAGGAAGAAATCCCCCCTCTACCTTTTCAAATACTACTCATAACAGGGCAAAATAAGAAAAACACTAGGAAGAGGAAGACGAATGCGTGGTGGCTCTGTGGCTAAGGATCTGCACCTGTGGCTGGAAGGTTGCTGGTTTGTATCCCACAGCCAGCAGAGGAATCCTACTCCGTTGGGCCCCTGAGCAAGGCCCTTAACCCCAACTGCTCCAGAGGCACTGTAGAATTGGCTGACCCTGTGCATCCCCAAGCTTCTCTCCCTGTCTGTGCATCTCATAATAATAATAATAATGTTTCTTTATTACCCCTATACAATTTCTTGCATTAGGAATTCATCTTTTCACATACCCCAGCTTTTCTCCATGGAGACACAGACACACATACAGGGAGAGAGAAGCTTGGGGTCAGAGCACAGGGTCAGCCATTGTACAGCGCCCCTGGAGCAGTTAGGGTTAAGGGCCTTGCTCAGGGGCCCAACGGAGTAGGATAGCTCTGCCGGCCGCGGGATTTGAACCAGCAACCTTCCAGTCACAGGCGCAGATCCTTAGCCACAGAGCCACCACTCCGCCCGAAAAAATATGAACGCTTCACGAATTTGCGTGTCATCCTTGCGCAGGGGCCATGCTAATCTTCTCTGTATCGTTCCAATTTTAGTATATGTGCTGCCGAAGCGAGCACAACTCATGGAGAGCAAATTAGGTAATGCGAAAAGACAAATTCCTAATGCAAGAAATTGTATAGGGCCAATAAAGTGATCTTAAAAAAAAAGCCTCTGGAGTCTAATACGCAGCTCGGGTGAATTGGACGTTTGGCACTGTCGTTGACACAAGTATAGTCCAGCAGAGGGCGCACAATCCGTGTCTGATTAACAGTGCCGGGCGAGCGCCATTACCAAGAGCCGTAGCCCGTCCTGAGCGGACAAGCAGATGGAGACCTGCACGTTCTGCGGAATGCCCCAGGCACCCTCGCGCTGAAGCGTGCCCTGCTACTGCTTTTCAGCGAGGTGAAGAAAGAGCATGCCGGATTTTCTTAATACTTTCCGTACGTGCGTGTGAAAATACTGATAGATCCTCTTTTTTTAATGTTTACTTAGCGATCAAGGTATCAAAATGGCCTGTTTGTAAAACCTGTTATTGCATTTGATCTTTTACTAAAAAAATAAATAAATCGTTAACAATGTTTAAAAAGCACTAGTCCACTGAAGCCAGGTTTTAATATTATGGAGAGATCAGCACAATTTGATTTATCTCACATCTTCTAAACCAGGGGTCTCCAGTCCTGTCCTAAAGGCCAGTATTTCTACAGGTTTTCTAGGTCTCCTCAGAGCACCTGCACTTGAGGAGCTGGGAGAAGCTGTTAAATTGATCCTATTAAGCCAAATAAAAACCTGATTAAGCTCATTAAGAGTTGAGTTGAAATGTGAACTGGCTGACAAACCTGTCCTCCAGGGCCATGAGAGTCGCTATATCAGTGTTCAGTACATTTCACAGCCAGTAGCTTGCTGAACCAATCTTCCACTGCCAGCCGTTTCCTGAAGACTTCAGCTTCAGCATCATGGCTGGGCAGTTTGTTCCAGGCCCCCACATCCCTTTGTGTAAAGAAGTGGTTCTCGATTTCAGTCCCCAGTGCACTCCCTCTTACTTTCGAAATTGTACCCTCGGAGGTCCAGGCTTGAAGCAGTCCTCTGGGTTGATTTTGTAGATATGCGTCAGGATTTTAAATGTTTGTGCCACATCCTCTTGTGGGCTGGCCTGGAGGGGGAGGTTAGCGTTCCAGACTTCCAGTGCGTGGGAACTTTCCGTGTGGAGTTTGCGTGCCCCCCCCCACACACACACACACACACATGGGCTGTTCCAGCTTCCTAGCTCTGCTCACATACAGTTTAATAAATGGAACCTTTTTTTATTAATTGATCTCTTTAATCCATCCTGTCTGGAGAGGCTGTACTAAGATTCTACCCTCAGTGCAGCTGGGACAGGGTTCAAGTGTTCAACACTAAAGAGATTTCATTCCTTTAACCTGTGTATATCTAAGGAACACAATCGCTTTAGTGCTGATTGGGGGAGTCGAGGAGGAGACACTTTATTTTTTGCAATGGGTTTATTCAAAATACAATTCACTGCGCCATCACTACTGATGCATAGCTCATATATATATAAAAAAGTATCAGGTTGGAGATGCAATAACAGGAAAGTGGAATAAAGGAGGAGAGTGGAGTAGCCGCGTGGAAGTGACTCACCTCTTGTGTGCGACGGAGTGGGCGTTTTTCTGAACAGGAGACAGAGAGCACAGAAGCTACGTGAGGTCAGGCGCAGAGTGGGGGGACTAAGGACAGCCAATGGCAGCAGCGCGGAGCAGAGAGGTGACGAAAATGACTGTAGTAATAATAACAGTGAAGCAGAGGATCATGATGACGGAGTCGATAATTACGAGCTCCAGGGCGCCTCCACACTGCCTGACTCACAGGCCCCGGGCGAGCAGGCTGTCCCAGGTGCTCTTTGCACCCAGCGCACCCTGCTGAGGCACGCACACTGTGAGCCAGTCTGGGGCAGGGGCTCAGCACAGCCGCCATAGTGTTAATCATCAAACTTCGCCCTTTCTGCTTCTCTTCAATCCCCCAGATTGAACCAGAGCAAAGGCTGATCATTTCAGGAAATCACAGTAGGCTGAGTCGTAGGTTTATAAAACTGGAGAAGATCGACTGCACAATCAGTAGAGAACAAATTGTGGAATTTTGAAGTTATTCAAAAAACACTCCCAAGGCCTGAGACAGATTCATCTCAAAAACAGATAAAAGTGCAGATATCAGTAGCCCAAAGGGATTAATAGATCAATTAAGATAAGTAGAAAAGACAAAGAAAATACTTTCCAAACCAACATCCAATTTATCGAATTCAAAGTGGAGGAATACATTGAATTGCAGCAGCCAAATTTATGTTGGAACAATAAATTGTTGTTACTATTATTGAAAAAGTCAGAAACAGGGTTTACAAGATAACTCCGTACATCGTTGATTTTGAGTTCTGAGAAACAGATAATCAGCGAACTCTATCACAATCTTACCCTACTCTTGATTGAAGCTAGTGTTTTGCTAGAATGACAACGACAGCGTTCACCAGGAAAGTGTTCTGTTGCAGATCTGCCTTTTATGTTCATAATTGTAACATGATTGTGCTTCATTTTTGTGCAACATGGTGCTTTTTCCACATCAAAAATGTTGATATGAATAATGTAAATGCATTACACAGAGAATCATTTGCATAATGTTGACAAGGAATGTGCTTCCTGGCTGTGCTGCATTCCAGAGTTAGATAGAGATAGATAGATAAGACTTTATTGATCCCCAAGGGAAATTGAGATGTTACAGCAGTTATCTTACAGCAGTTATCGTGTCCAAAAGGATGGTAACTTGCCTGATGTTTAAAGTCACTCGCCCTGGGTCATGGGCCCACTTGGAACTGACTACAAATGTAATGTTAATTTCTGCTGAGGCCTGGAACACTTTCCAGCATGGTGATCAGCATTGCTGCCTCACAGAGCTGGGGCCCTGGGTTCAGACTGGGACCTGGGGTGCTGTCTGTGTGGAGTTTGCATGGTGTTGCATTGGTCTTCTCCAGGTGCTTTGGTTTCCTCCCGCAGTTCAAAGGGATGCTGGTAGATGAATTGGCTTCTGGGAAAATTGGCCCTGGTGTGAGTGTCTGTGCCCTGCATCCTGTCCAGGGGTATCTTGGACCTTGGGGTATCTTGTGCCTGTTGCTTGCAGGATAGTCTCTGGCTCCCCTGTGACCCTGAATTCAGTACAAAGGTCAGAAAATGGATCCACTGACGGATGGATTTGGAAAACGGCAGAAGGGCAATCAGGGTAATGAATGGCACCATGCTTTCAGAGTGTGAGCCATACAAATCCTCCTCTTCCTGCCACATCCTCAAGCCAGCGCTGTCTTTACAGGCCCTGTGCACCGCAGCAAGGCGGCGTCTGCCAGGGGACAGCGCCTCCTACAGCATGGCGAGCCAGCCGCGATGGCGGTGGCAGAAAGGGAGAGGGGGAGAGGGCAGCTGCAGTTCTGTGTCCGTCTCAGCGTGGACAGGGCAGCAGGAGGCAGAAGCCCGCACCAGAGGCTCCGAGCGGGCCACGCGTTCGGAGTTTGTCCTCAGTCACTGCACCTGGCCCGCGCAGCCGAGAGATTCAGTGTGATTTATGGGCTGTGTCGGGGGACGCACAGCAGCTCTGATTAATGACCTGGATTAGAAGAAGCGTTGAGGGTTGCACTGCGGGTGGATGCCATCTGAACACCTCCCATGTGCTGTTATCTCACTGTGGCATTTGGCAAGCGGATGCAGGCTAAACATTTTCCTTGTTGCTTCTGTTCTGTTCAGTTCATGGGGCAGAGTGGTGGCTCTGTGGTTAAGGATCTGCATCTGTGACTGGAAGGTTCCCAGTTCAAATCCCGCAGCTGGCAGAGGAATCTTACTACGTTGGGCCCCTGAGCAAGGCCCTTAACCCCAACTGCTCCAGGGGTGCCGTACAATGGCAGACCCTGTGCTCTGACCCCAAGCTTCTCTCCCTGTCTGTGTCTCCTTGGAGAAAAAAGCTGGGGTATGTGAGAAGACCAATTCCTAATGCAAGAAATTGTATAGGGCTAATAAAGAAACATTATTATATTCTTATTTGCCTTAATCCTGTTCATGTTGCTTATTTCCCATTTTTATTTTCCAAAAGCAATGCAGGTGAAACATCTTTAAAAACATCTATGATGTAAAAGGCTTGTAATTCTAACTTACTTTTAGCAGACGCTGTGTTGAGATACACCCTTCTCTGCTGGGTAGCTCGCCAAACGTTATCCTTCAGGGTCCAGTGCTGAGTAGAGGGCCTGTCAGACAGGTTTTGATTTCCTAATTAAGGTTCAGACACGGACAGACATAAATGTTCTCTGTTTATAAAACAAGACTGGTTCCAGTTGTCTATTGAGAGGACACCTCTAGTGCCTCCGTCTCTGAACACCGACATTCAGCCTGCATGCCTCCAGTGAAACTGCTTTTAAAGGGGTATAAAATACAAAAGGAAGTTAAGGTCTTAGGGGCCAACATAGAAAGGAAGTAGGGAAAACTGTAGCATCTTTCTGTATGTCATTGGCCACAAAGTAGAACAGAGATCTCTGAATTACAAAGGTCAAAATCACCACTAGAAATGTGCTTGTTTTGATCTTATTTTCATGAACAGCAAAAACACACATGGGCGTGTGAAGGTGGTTAGGATTTGGAAAAATAATAGAAGACAGAACAACACCATACTTAGGAATCATCACTGCCTGTATATGTATAAGCAGTACAGAGAACATAAAACGTGATATTCATAGCTGGAGAAAACATAACAAGAAAATTGGAAGGTTGCTGGTTCACATCCTGCGGCTGGCAGAGGAATCCTACTTAGTTGGGCCCCTGAGCAAGGCCCTTAACCCCAACTGCTCCAGAAGCGCTGTAGAATTGGCTGACCCTGTGCTCTGACCCCAAACTTCTCTCTCCCTGTCTGTGTGTCTCATGGAGAGCAAGGTAGGGTATGCGAGGAGACAAATTCCAAATACAAGTTCACAATTACTCAACAAAAATAATCAAAACAAGGCAGTTATTTGTTCTTAATGTATGGCAATATAATATTACAGAACTGAGTACAGGGGGTTATGTCATGTACATTCTAATACTAGACTACTTTCACTATGAGCTTTATAGAAAGATCTGGTATGTGCCTGCAAAGGCTTGAGCAATAAATAGGAATGTTTCACTATGTTTATCACTCTGTATACTCTAAAACGCAGCACGTCTCATATGATAGTCTGAGCTGTTACTATGGAAAGTGTTATAACACTCATACAAACAGCTGTGGACGTGCACAATTCACACACCCTCACACACACACCCACCCAAACAATCAACCCTACCAGTACAATTACAAGGATATACAGTATGTGTGTGCAATCTCAGATGACACACTCTCAGCAGTCTGTGCATGCAGTAGCTCCAGCCTACTGTTCTAGAGTCAGGAAGAATAGGAGTCTGGGTCTGAACAGCATGATTTTAGGGACCAAATGTGGTTCTGTTTCAAAAACATTTTAAATAAACCTCAAATGTCCGTTTGCAAATATGTGTTTAAATAGACAGAGTGAAAAGGAAATGTTGAATGCTGGGATGCAGCTTTGGAGTGTTAGGTCACAAAATGAATAATCCATTTAATTGAAGAATCAGATAACCATCAAGAAAACACTTCCCCAGAGTTCTCAGAAAGACAAGCATACACAGTGATGGCCAGCAGTCAAATTAAGATGTCTGGATCGAGCAAGACTCATGTAGAGGCGATTTGACCAGGACACAACTGCTTAACCAGTCCGTCTTGTATCCAAAACAACACGACACACCTTGTCTGTCTCCGAGATCTGAACTGCACAAGTTGGCTTCCAGAGACTAACCTACCCACAGCACACTCTGACACACGCAAACTGTGTTTTACCACGCCTAAAAACACCCACAGAGCCATTTTAATCTACTCCAAAATTAAAAACAAACCAACACCTTCTAAGTGGCACGACACATCACATGCTTCCAGCTTATTTACCCTGAACACCATTCTTCAGGATGCAGGTGAGTCAGCCTGATTCTCAAGACAAGACTGACATGCTTTCAAGTAGATCATAATTATAACCATCAGTGTCACAAGACTGCCCTTTAGATCAACTGATAGGTACTGAAGGTTTACCTGCTGGTTACTGAGTCTGAGCTGAATTAGGTTCAAGTGTAAATAGTGAACAATACAAACAAGGCAGTATTTAGGGTCTGTCTTCCACTTGCCGGTTGAAAATAGAGCGAGAAGGAAATATTGAATTCTGGAATGTAGCTCTGTGTACAGCTTGTTAGGGTTGGGCTCCAAAATGAGTGTTAATCCATTTCATTGAAGAGTCAGATAACCATCAGAAACCACTTCTCCAGAGTTCTCAGAAAGACAAGCCTGCACAGTGCTGGCCAGCAGTCAGGCTGAAATCCCTGGATTGAGCTAGTCTGAGAGGTGACCAGGACACAAGATTGAATACAGACCTGTTTAACAGCCCGACGACCTGCTGAGTTATCAATCAGATCAGATGCAAACCCAAGTGCCTATGTAGGCATCACACCACAGACAATTCGTTTCCCGTGCTAAAGAAATCTGGAAATTGCGTCGTGTGCATTGCTCCACTGCGCAGGATGAAGCAGTTGCACAACAGACCTTTGTGGCAATGGGTGTGTATGAACGTAAGCAAGGTTACGGGCAACAGGGGACTCTTTGGCCATCGTGCTCATTCGGTTGCTCGGAGCGAATTCACTCCAGGACCTCTTGAAAGAACTGGCGTAGACTCTCCATTCTCACAACATTAGTGCCTCGCTCGTTCCACCCTCCCACCACCCTTTGTGATAAAAGTGCTTCCAGTTCTCAGTTTAACTTGCACTGCCCCATAGTTTCCACCATGTTTCCTCATGTTTCAATGTGGCGCAAAACTGTAAGGCCGGCAGCCACCTGCGGGGACAAGTGCCCAATAAAACCACAGCCTGCAATGGCAGTTCGTGTCAGACAGGAATTCCAGTTCAGTGGTGCCGAGAGGTGTTTTGCCATTCTCCCTTCTTGCATGCTCCATCTATTTACACGGTCAGTCAAACAGGGAGAATCCGACAAGACGTGTGATCTGCTGTAGACATGCATTCAGTAATGTCCTGTATGTGTCTGTTTTAGGGGCGGCACAGTGACGCAGTGGTCAGCATTGCTGCCTTGCAGAGCTGGAACGCTAGGTTCAATTCCTGGGGTGCTGTCTGTGTGGAGTTTGTATGTTCTCCCCAAGTTTGCATGGATTTCCTCTCAGTCCAAAGACATGCTGATAGGTTAATTGGCTTCTGGGAGAACTGGCCCTGGTGTGAGTGTGTTTGTGTCTGTGTGTGCCCTGTGCTGGACTGGACTGGACAGGCAGTCCCATCTAGAGTGTGCCCTGCCTTGAGCCCGTTCTTGACAGCAGAGGCTCCGGCTCCCCAGCGACCCTGTGTTAGATAAGGCAGTTAGAAAATGAATGGATGGATTTGTCTGTTTCAATTGTCACACAGTTGATTGAGTGTGACTCTTGCACATCTCTCAGCAGCAGCATTCAGTTGAAGGTTTTACCAATCGAATCCCTCTTTACAAAAGGGGTAGTTCTGTGTTTTGAATTACCTCTCCTGGAGACAAAACAGAAAGTCAAAGATGCATACTGTACAACCCCACAGAAACAGGTTAGGAATAATTCATTTTATTGCACAACATCTGAATTGTACAGAACATAATATACAGACAACCTATGTTTCCTAACACAAGAGTTGTCAGAAGTATGAACCTGCTTCCTGTAAGCACCTCTGGATTTTTGTGACACAGGCATATGGGTGAAACTAAATGGAATACTTGGAAGCAAATAATTTAGCTTATGATTTGTTGCAGATTTAGCTTATTTTTTTTAGCCCAGAACTCTTTGAATCCCCTCTTTGTTAAATCTTCTGCACAGGGTTTTGTGACACCGCGTTTGTGATTAATGCACATTTGGAAACTGGTCCTGTCTGTTCCTTACCGAACTTGATAATGTGATACTATACGAAAACAGATATAAAACAACTGGAAAGCTTTAAGCTTTGTTAAAGAAACATATCATACTTAAAGGACAATGAGGCATTCTCTACATTTGGAAAGGTGTGTTCATAAAGCATTCATGTAATGATAACTACATATCACTCAACTCCATGAATACAGACACAACTAAAGAGGTAGAAACAGCCTGGGGCATCTTTCTGTGTTCCTTCACTGGCTACTGCCTGCTCTATAGTGAACGTGCAATGACACTTTATCAGACTGCTGTTTCAACACAGGCAATGTGCTACAGCCAGAGTGGAACCATACAATCATAATGCGCAAGCCATCAGTTGTTTTTTACATTTTTTAAATAAAAAACAAATTCCACACAGTCCAAAGAAGTTCTCTAAAAATAGCCAAGACCCAGAAACCCAGCCATGACCTTTCGTGTCAGGGGACTTTTCTTGTTCACATAGAATGGCAGGCAGCCTGTGATCAGCACGTCAAACTGCGCTGTTTACTCTTTCAGCCCCTGTCACTTCCAGCATCTATAATTAATCGTCTCCTGCTGGGAGCTACACCCACACACACACACACACACACACCTCTCAGATGAGACGCGTTGACATCTCACACTGATACCAGGCACAGGAGTTTAGCTGCTCCTGTGAAGGAAGGGTCAGAAAAAAACCCATCAGAATTTCTTTATTCCAAGAAACAGAAGATAAACGTGTTCTTCAATATTTCGCAATGTAGTCGTCTGTCCTAAAAAAACTTCGACTTACGACAAATAAGACGAGACCATATAGAAATCTCTTTATTGTGGAGAGACTGGATTTTTAAGCTTATGATGAAACTGCTTTATGGGAAAAATATGTAAGACATTCCTCTATCCTCTTTCAATACCAGACACAATAGCCAAGAAAAAGACTTGCGAAGACCATTTTTAATGCATTCGTATGCCACAACCTGTCTCTGTAATGTGGATGACACAGCTGAGAATTAAAGAAAGTGCTTTACTGTAAACAGACATCTGTCACACATAAAATGACAGAAACCAAGAAACATCTTAAAATAGCTCTTTCAAACATCAGTGTTAATACAGACTCCAAAATGGTCGAAATGTTCTCAAGAGATGTACTCAAAATTTGAGGAAACTTTCAGAAAATTTGTAAAAAGTCTAAATATGTCCAAATAACACAAAATGGATGTCATGGATTTTACATCGGTGGTATCAAATGGTAACTGCTTTCTGGTGAAACTGAACTTTGTTCCCAGGTCTCATACTGAAGCAGTTTCTCCTTTCTGCATCCTGTCAGGTTTTCAACCCAGGTGCAAATTATACTATTACTGTCCTTGACCGTGATCGGTCAGCATCAATGTTGATCTGGCCTCCCTGCTCTATTTTGGAATCAGTAATAGTAATTACAGTTCCAAAACCACTTCTTTAAATTAGCAGAGTTCACATACTCCTCTCTTCAAAACAATTAACAGTACAGATTTTAACTCCAGTAAAAATGTAACTCAATGCAGTCTTAATTGAGATGACCTGATATTTACTGCATGTTCAAACACATAATGGTTTTATATACAGGATTCTATAGTTAGTGCAAGTTGAATGAACCTGGAATGTTTACAATGAAGTGTATGCATCTGAATGGTACGTTAATTTTTAAAGATGATAAAAGATATCACATTCGGATTCTGTTGAGGGAGAATTGTACTGTGGGTTCATACCAGGTGTGAAGTGTTCCGATTTATTTTTTTTGCATCTGTGTGACATCTTGTATGTAACATGACTGTAGCCTTGTAGCTGAACAGTGTTGCAAAACTGGCAGTTCTGCAGTCATTTTATAATCAAGACCAAGAAAAATGTAGGTAAACAAGTTTATTTATTCATTTTTACTGGCAAATATAAATTACTGCTCCACGTTTTCACAGAAAAAATGCTTTGTTCTTTTTTTTTTTAAAGTCAACTTCCCAGCTCTAAAAATCAGTGCACAAAAACATCCACGTCGACAATTAACCTCATTCAACCTTTTTGAGAAGAGTATCTGCTTGAACACAAGAGGGTGTGAAGACTTCTACGCCCGTTTCTGCACACGTGTGTGGTGTTGCATGTGAGGTGCGGGGGAGCAAAATCTGAACAGAAAAAAATGGAGAACTCAAAAAGGCACAGAGAGCTGCAACAGGAACACACACAAAAAAACCCAGGATTAAAGGGACGAGTTTAAACAGACCTCCGTGTTTGTGTGATTTTGTTTAAGGCTGTTCCCTCTCCTTAAAGAATAACATGGAACAAAAACGAATCGTTCTGCCATCGGTAAGATGTAGCACGACAGCATACTGATTTGTGCAACTGTATTTGAAATAGCTGTCTTGTTCTTAATAACCACACCTGCTGCTGTGCAGATGTTAAAGCACCAAGGTCTATATAGACACCTATTCAGAAATGAGAAGTAAAGACATTATAATCCAGCATGGACATACACTTGACAGCCCTGTTCTCTTTCCCCAGCACTGTGAACGGTGTTGAATTTTACACCCGGAAAGACAGCGAGATCTGCAAGAGTGCTGACCAGTTAAAATACTGGGTCCGCTGGGCACCGGACCAACAATAATTAGAGTCCAATTATGACTCGGGAAAGGAGTGGCAGGTTGGCAAGCTGTAGTGCTTTAGAGTGAGGTTTCAGAAAGTGGACTTTTTCTGCACTCTTACTGAAAGATAAAAAGAAACGGAACTGTACAAACAGCTGTTTTAACAAAACCACCCCTCTCCCACCCCAGCCCGCACTCTTCCGGCCTTCGCCTCCCTCTGATGACAGCCACTCGGAGTAGCAAGAAAGCCCAAGGCTGGAAAAACTACTGGAAGCGTGGAAGATCCCAGAGCCCGTGCAAGGAACTAGGCTCTTAAGTGCAAAAGTATTTACTGGGACAAACCAGTCCATAAACCTGGAAAAATAAAATAGGATTCTTTTTTTTTTTCTGTCCTGGGACTTTCGGTTTTAAAACAATTAGCAGCACACCATGTAATGAAGAATCCTGTTTCACGGAAGTTGCCTCCTAGGTATCCTAGTCGTGTCTGCAGTAGAATCGGTAGTAATGGAGCAGAGAGCTCAACTATAACACTGCCTATTCGAGCCAGCTTTGTAAAAGCCACATCATCCCTGTTATTGCTTCCACTTACATACTGTAATACATTTTCGTCCACATGTAGATTTTTTTTTTTAAATGTGAATGAACCAATTGGTAGAAGATGCAGTTTCCCCATGCTTCACCAGCTTTACAATTTGTCCAGATTCGGGGATTTTCAACTCCCCCAAAACCCTAGAGCGCAGTCGCTCCAGACTCCTATGGAAGCATGCTGCAAGGGAACTCATGTGGAAAGGAGGTAGGTAGCTAGCCATCTTCTAAAGGCTTGAAGTTATAAAAATAGACCAACATTTAAAAAGCAAGGCCATGCCCTTTTAACAAATGCTTTAACTACTACAATTTATTCGAAACTTTCTGCCACAGGAAAAGGGTTTTTAAAAGCAAAACGCATTACAGTTATCTCCTTCATGAATCAACAGCAACTAAGATAAACACATTAAACCCTTGGTACTTTCGGAAACAATCGGCATTACAACTGCAAAGACAAGATACTACATACTACCCTTTTTAAAGCTAATGCTAAATAATAATGCTTGAACTATTTACTCCGCAATTTCAGAAAAGTCAAAAACGGCAAGTAAGCAATAAGCAACCTTCTAAATATAGTTAAATATTTTTTTTAGTATTTTAGATATATAAATATTTTATATAGATATTTTGTAAGATATTTACATAAAACTGCTACATTTTGCTGAAATAATAAAATAGTTTTCTATTAAATAACGGACACTGAGCAGTGTCCCTGTGCACTAATGTTATACGCGAGGAAAGTGTTTTTTTTTTTCGTCACTCCCAACAGTGAGGTTCGAATCGAGGCGCCGGATGGAAAGAAATGAAGTCTTTTTTTTTTTCCTCCTCTCAGACGGCTAACGCCCTCGCACTGGGGGGTTCAAGCGCCGTTCCTGAACGGGAACTTGGTTTTAAACGGGCGTCTTGAGAGACACACCGGCCGCCTGCGTCTTGCCCGGGCTCGGAGCGGCCGGCGGGCCTCTCCCTCAGGCGCTCCACAAGCGGCGACGCAGCGCTACGGCGGCCGGGACTCCCGCCGTGAGGGGAGACGTGGAGAGGGACCGATTCAACATTATTGCACAAGCGCAAGAACCCGGGTCCCGCGCCAGAGACCAGGTCAAGACGGACGTAGAAAAGCAAGCACCCACTTCGGGAACTACTAACACACCTTTCACCTGCATTAAGTGCGTCCATGTCGCTTCAAATGGAATGTGCTTTTATTTAGTTAGGTTAGTCTTCCCTTCTTTTTTTTTCCTACTATATATAGGTTATCTGCAATTCCTGCCAAGAAAGATTTAGGCTCAGACAGTACACTGAGGCTTGTGGACTGTCACCAGAGAGAGGCGCAGGGGGACAGTGGAAGAATGCACCCCCCAACCCAACACACCCCCTCACAATCTCATGCTGCACATTGTTCTTCAGTTTTCAACAACGGTTTTTCATTATTTTCACTATCATAAAATTTAAAACGGCAGGCATTGGTCTAATAACGTGTAAGAAATGGACATAAGACGAAAACCCATGACCTACTGTGGTTTGGTTGTTTTTTTTTAAACCACAAAAGTTCTATTGGAAAGGGAGGCATCCACAGCCGCAGCTGTATAAATGACTGACTTGACCTCTCTCTTCAATCTCTGTGTGTCCAGACAATGACAGCAGTCAGAACAATACCAGCACAGCTGCAGGGCCTACATGGGCCCATCCTTCTGTGGCAAAATACATCGAAACCCAGTGGAGAAGCTGACGAAGCACAGGGAGAAACCCGAGGCAAAAAAAAAAAAAAATCAAATAAACTTACACTGGATTTTGCACTAGCTGCAGTTTAAAAAAACCACATCCCCATCCCCAAGTGCAAATGTCTTCAGATAATCACTGTCCTCACGCAGCTTTGGGACAGGAGCTGGCTGGGGGCCACATCCTCAAAGACTGGAAGGCTCAGTGTGGCGGGACAGGGTGCCAGAGAGGGTTAGGCAGAGGCGCAGCTGGAGTTGGTTGGACCAGATTGGACTCGTGTTGGGGGGTGGGGGTGGATCACGGCGGGCTTGAGGGCAGAAGCCCACCCAGGCGGGCGAGTTCTTGCATCCGACTGGGACCAGACGAAGCAGAGCGAGGGCGGAGGGGGCCTAGGTGCAGGACGGCGAAGAGCAGATGGGCGCGGGCCAGGTCTGACTGCAGATCACGTGGGCTGGATTCAACGGAGTGGGCGGGCTCACGGGTCAGGCGTGACTGTTTCTGATTGGACCGGGCGAGGCGGCAGCTGCTGGGGGTGGGGGGCGGGGCTCCTGCTCTTATAGGCTGCAGCCCAGGGTCTTGGTGTGCGCAGCCGAGAGCTGCTGCACTTTGAGTCTGCGCAGGCTGGCGCTGGAGTAGCCCTCGTCACTGCAGCTGCTGCGCAGGCTGCCCCGCTCGTCAGAGTCACTGACGCTGCTGTTGCTCCACTCCAGGTCCCCCATCAGGTAGTCTGTGCCTTCAACGTCCACGTCAATCTCCTCTGGAAGACAACACACACAATCAGGGCGCCGCGCCCCACGCACAGACAGGACGAATGCCTGTGTTGGTTGTTTACCGCTCCCTGCAGCCAAGAAAGGACAAAATGCCAGCCCCCACTCAAAAGGCACATGCTTCCAGTTGTGACGGCTACTGTGCAAATACCAATCCCATCCATCCATTTTCCAAACACTATCTGATACAGGGTCACTAGGGGGCTGGAGCCTAGTCCAGCAAGTAACGGTCACAAGGAAGGATTCACCCTGGACAGGATGCCAGTCTCGCAGGGCACACACAGACACCCAATTTTCCCAGAAGCCAATCAACCCATTAATATGCCTTTGGATTGTGGGAGGAAACCGGAGACCCGGGAGGAAACCCACACCAACACAGGGAGAACATTCAAACTCCACACAGACAGCACCCAGGGCCTGGAACTGCACCCAGGACCCCAGCGCCCGGGACGAACCAATGCTAACCACTGCGCCACCCTGTGGAAATATCCCTTTAAGGTTCATATAAAAGAAATATAGGGTGTAAGGTCACTAGAACTATTATAATAATACAACCTCATAGGAGAAACTTACGTAAAATGTCATAACTCTGCAGGACTCTGCATGTGTCTCTGTGGGGGCGGGGGTACTGCAGAGAAGCAGGTGAAACGTTTCCAGTGGTGAAGACAGAAGGGGATGATGGGAGAACAGAATAGCTGTACAGCTCTCAGGGCAGCTGCCTGCGTACAGGTACAGTGACTCCCGAGAACCAGGGGTCGTGAAGACCAGTGAAGGTGCCCTCACAAAGCAGGTTTCTTTCAGTACAAACCCAATGGCATCTTCCTTCAATCTTTGTTTTGGGGTCTTGTTTCCCCCCTCACGGCACGTCAGTTTCAGAAGGGCGGGAAACAGAGTGGCGCTGCCAGTGCGCCGCGGCCGGTCTGCTCACCCTGATCCGAGTCCGATTTCTCGGAGGACATGGTGGAGCCCACGCTGTCCATGCGTATCCGCTCCACGCCCAGCTGCTCCAGCCGCCGCCTCAGGTGCCGCTGCTCGCGCTGCAGCTGGTCGATCTGGTGCTGTGCCCGCCTCTCGCTCTCCTCTAGCTTCTGCAACAGGCGCCACCCCCCCCCGCTGGTCAGACGTCTGCCCTCTGTACGGACACGCCCCCTGCTGGTCACACTCCTGCCCCCTGCTGGTCACACACCTGCCCCCTGCACACGCACATGCTCCCCTGCTGGTCACACACACCAGCCCTCTGCACACGCACACGCCCCCCGCTGGTCACACACCAGCCCTCTGCACACACACGCCCCCTGCTGGTCACACTCCTGCCCCCTGCACACGCGCAGACCCCGCTGGTCACACACCTGCCCCCTGCTGGTCACACTCCTGCCCCCTGCACACTCACAGAGCCTGCTGGTCACACTCCTGCCCCTTGCACACGCACAGAGCCTGCTGGTCACACACGGCGCCCCCTGCTGGTCACACACCTGCCCTCTGCACACACACACGCCCCCTGCTGGTCACAC